ACACACACACACACACACACACACGGGAGAAAAGCCTGCAACATTTGCACGTGTGTTCGTTATATGGTGTTGTATTCTTTCAGGGCAAGAACACGGTGTATACTTAGGTGGAAGTATAAGGTGAGATGTTGCGAAAGAAAGGCGATTGCTTTCGAGCGTAATGCGCAGCGTTTAACTCGCTGGCTTGTTATGTGTACACGGAAGTTGCTTAACAATGTGATTTTGAACAAATTGTTACCTTGTAAATCCGTCGGGGAACGGGAGGCATGAAGCCTCCTAAGCGTTTTGCCTAATCATTGTTCAGTCATCGCGTTCGAGTTAAAACACCAGAAATCTCGAATGTTTAACGGGTGAAATGGCAAGATACAAGATTTCTCTGCTAGATGATTATGGTTGATAATCCACTGTTACATCGAAATTTTATTCGGAGTGCCGACGTGTGTTTTTATCGATTTAAATCTGTTTCGAAGAAATTTTAAACCAGAAGCAAATTGCAATCACGTCACGCTATTGTTACACATAAAATGTAAGAAAATATTCGACTTCATCTGATGTGAGAAAGATTGTCAAGCCTTTGGAACAAATCCCTTTTATGAGATCTCTTGTTTTATCTTATTTTCAATTAGGCCATGCGAAAAATTTTCTAGCCATCCCGAGATATTACAAAAGTGGTACAATTTGAAAATTGATATCTTTTTTCTCTGGTCTCGCCAAGTGCAAAATTCGCAAAATTTTTCACCTCGTTTCGGTTCACAAAGGTATCCTATCTAAAGATTAATTTGCAAAAGTTTTATTCTGACTGCAATTAATTTTTTCCTGTCTCCGTTACATCGTGTATGCAATGATTTATCTATTTATCAATATAATCGTTTGTGACATTAGTTGAGCGTAATCGAGCATCGATATTACATCCTTTCATTTACATAAAAAAATTGTCGCGCTAGGAATCTTTCGATTATTCTTTCGACGAAGCACGAACAGTAATGCATCGATGCAAATTTCCGCGCGTAAACTGAAAAAAGTAACGACGAAAAAAGGGTTAAATCAGAGAATTTAAATGTTGCAATGAAGAAGGACTTTGCTAACGTGATTATTCTCAAATAATAAGAAAAAAAAAGTGTATGATTATTATTTAAAATTGGGATCGCGCGACAATTGTGATGAAAGAGGTCGAGAAAGCATAGAGAAAAAGTTCTTCCCTCGTTATAGAATTCGAAACGAATCCAATTATGTCGCGTCTCGTCTGGTATTTGTCTCAATCGTGTGACAAGAAAATAACGTTTAATCATTTAAGAGAAGAAAGCGTCCCTGTTTATGAACATTCCGCGAAAGTAGGTCTTCTTTAGTTTGACTTCGAAGAATTCGTCCTACATCTTTTTTTATAAAAATAATGGATTCTTTCATTAGAATATCCGACTTTGTTGGACTTCGTGCTTGTTTGAACAAAGTGTTCAGCGTTGATTTGTATCCTCGTTATAATTATGGAAATTACCAGGAATCTGTGTGCAAGTAAGTTGTTAATCCTTTCAGGATTTTATTATATTCGTATTATCGTGCAAAAATATTGCACTGTTCGATGCGCGGTTAAAAAACTTTAATATCATAAAGATAATATGCAAATAACACCACACATTAATTCATTTGTGTAGAAACTCAATCGTGCAAATATTTACATGATTTTCTCACTTACAAATTGATTTCGGTATTCTAATAATTTTGATCACCAGCGAATTAAAATATCCAAATTGATAGTTAAAAATATTCAAATAGATCTCGTTAAGATCAAGGATAGATTTGTTCGTTGCAACTCTTCAGTTGTATGAAAAAAATGAAGCTTCAAGACAGAACTCTAATGGTTGTATTTATACCAAATGAACTAATGCCCTTTTTTCCCCGCTATTTCGACCAAATTTATGTCTATTTATGCTTGTATTCATAAGAAACCAAAGTTTGAATTAACACGCCATCATTTCTGACTTTGAAATATTCGATTTTCACTTTGCGATATTCGTCTTTTTCTTTGCTACCTCGAAATCATGCTGTTATAAAATATCATTATAAATCGCCCAATGATGACCAGATTGCATATGAAAATAAATTGAAAATTATAACATTAAAAATTCTCTAATATGCTGACTGAAATATGGATTTTGCTCATAAAACAATAATTTTCCACCGGCTTTTTTAACGTTTTACTGTCTCGATGTTGGCTCCAAATTTCTCGCCGACTGTGAGAATATTGTCAGTGCTTTAAATTATTGTAACTTCATGAAAGAAAAATTATAAGAAAAAGTGCGAAAATTTTGCAAATTGAAGCTTGTCTTTATGGACAGTCACGGTTTAAAACAAACGATTTAACAATTTTTTTCTTACCAATTTTTTCTTAACAATTTTTTCCCTACCAAGTAATTCTAATATCGATAATTTTTCCCCAAGTATCTATGTATCCTGATGAATAATCATGATCCTTTTGAGTACGATTACATTATTCACATGTTCACATTACATTCATTACATACTTCAATAATTTACAATTTATGTTTGCGTTATATTTGTACTTTAATAATTTACAATATTTATTCTTTGAATTGCATGTCTATCTTTAATTACTGAAAATAATTTCCTATTAATCAAATCATCTGTTTGTATATTTATTGCCTCTGAAACTGTTTACTTGCGACCAAGTTTTACGATAATTTTAGTATCATTTTTTTCGTTAGATACATCGAAGTTTGATTTGTCAATGTGACAAGTTGATGGTTTAATCAACTATTAATCTTGAGCTCAATCGAAGCGCTGTCAGCCCTGAAAACTTATTAATAATCGATGATTTTATTAATAGACGATAATTAATATTTTCTTGCTGCGAATAAATCGTGAAAATCACCTGATTAATTGATCATTCGTACTTTTTATTTACAATTAGAGTTGGAATAAACAATTCATGGAAGGATCGTTCGATTGGCAGTGGAAAATTCTTTCCTTCTCTGTGAATGCGTGCTTGAAATAACTCCAGATCATTCGAAATAATTCCAGTCTGTTCTGTTAAATCGATGTCGTAACCTGCGTTGCATTGGCAAATTGTCGAATTGCATTTTCATTCACGTTAACCTCAAATTTCAACACGAATTCGTTAGAAATTCAAACTTTTAACTCACCAGTTAACTTTTTCACCACGATTTGTTATATATTTTCTTTCCAGTTCTCACCATCTTTGTCGAGTCACCGCGATCGAAACAAGAGAGACAATTTTATGTTTTAGATGGCTTTCAGAGCTTGGGGTTGATACTTCTTCACTTCCTCTTTATCCTTCGCTGTTAACTTTACACCTAAAATACGGGCGTTATCAATTCTCCAATTTTCTAATTTTTAGTTAAACGTTTGTCATCAAGGGACTGTGTTTCAACGTTACCCGCAAGGCACACGTTACTGTCGAAGGAACAAACTCTGTCGCACTCACTGCCTTCCTGTTCCGGTCTTCTCCGATAGCTTCTCCCGCAGATTTTCCTCCTTTTCGATCGATCGTTCACGTAAATCTGGCTTGTTGCTACCTCAGACACACGCGGTATGAAGGAAAATTTAATATTTCTTTACTCGTATAATTACGACGATGATTGAATTTAATGTCTCACGTAAAATGTAACAAATCGCATGAAACAATGCTGCCGCGGCATAACGATGTATAACGAATACGAATAAAAATGAAATAGAATAGATTTCAAAGGTTTATAACGGGAGAATTAGAGAATGAGGGGAGGGAGCATGCATCATTTAGGAAAAGGAAAATCATCTTTACTTGGCGTTTCCGGTGCGATGTCCACGCCGAGACCTACGCAACCAATATGACGCGGATGAAGAAGATACTTTCTCTCTTCCAACGACGGTTTTATACATCCGAGAACTAGCTCCGCGCACGAAATATGTCTAACGAGCTTCCTAATACATTTCCACGGCGTTTCCTTTGTTCTTCCCTTCCTGCATTTTCGATACCTCACTTTCGACACTGTCTTCGATGGGGCAACTTCCTCCATCTCGCCAGCTTCAGCCAGACCGTCGATTGCCAGTTCCCTGAGTTTTCGTTTCTCCATCCCTTTCTCCGTTTGTTTCGACGCTCTCGCCTGTCCCTCTTTCCACTTCTTGTACTTTCGACAGTCGGCTTTCCGACGACGACCATGCATACTCGACAAAGGATTTCACAACGCGCGCTCTATTCAGAAGTGGATCGAAGTGTTCACGATATTGACTGATCAGATACCAAGTCCATGCTGAATTTTATTTATTTTTTTTTTTTCATATGACGCCGGATTTTATTTATTTCATACGATGAAATGCGGATGCATGTTGTTGTTGAAACGACGCTGAATTTTCTCGCTGTTTGTTTCTCTCCTCGCTCGGGATAGATGTCGTTGCGTATCTTTATACGGTGGTTAACTTCGCGCTGTATTTCCCTATATCTGACAGACAATCTGACCGAGAATGGCGAAATTTTGAAGTGTTGAATATTTTCATCGACTCGATAATAAGAGTAAATAGCCATACAAATTATGCGACGCCCGTATCTCAAGAAACTGCGCAGATCAGACTGTTGAAGTTAAAATGCGAGCAACCTTCGTCCCGTGACTTGCTCACGTTCTTGACATCGTTGAAATTCGTCGAGGCGTTATAAATCGTGCGGGTAGCGCTCGGCGTTGAATCAAGCACGATGACCACACGGCAAGTGAGATCGAAATCGGTGTTCGAGATCGATCGAGCGAGGCAACTGCAAAGGCAGAAGCTGAAACAGCTGGCGGTATGCGACGAGATAGTTTCCTCGGAAACTGTGAATGCTATCGGCCGTGTGACAGACGTGGTCCGGGCCGCCGACGACAACGCGCCGAGCAGCGACGAGCTCGACGAGGATCTCGAGGAGCAGTACAAAGACCTAAATTTGTATCTCGACTTGCCGAACGACACGTACTCCCTGACCGCGATCAGGCCACAGCTGCCAACCTGTGTCAGATACGGCGTGCGTGCCGGAATGACGCACATTAACATGCCAAAGTTCTCGCCGTTGTCCAGGGGTCATCAAGTAATTAAAATTCTACGGGCCGTTGCGACCATTAATCCCCCAGCTTAGAAATGTAGAAATTCGAAGCCACTGTGTTTGCATGTCAACGAACGTTTCGACAACTAGCGATAATATTGGCAAACCGCGAGATCGCAGATTTCGGGAAAGCACAAAGACCCGTAGTTTAGAAATTCAATGATCAGTGCCGTTGTCAAAACTGAACATATATAATGCGACTTTAGCATGAATAATATTTTCATATAGTCAGCGTGTGATCCTGCATTTAACAATAAGTCGGGAAAAAAGAACGACGTTTCTTTCATATAATACGCTTCGCTTTCGAGAAAATCGAGCTTGAAAATTTATCAAGACAACTTCTTAAAAATGAAGCAGTAAATGAGAAAAATTTTGTTCTACATTTTTTACTTATTTTTTGAATACAGTTGATCATTCCTCCTATTAGTTTTTCTTTCCTGCCATTAGTCGGAATTAGTAAATTTTCAAGCTTGACCTTAAAACGTCTATTCTTGTCTCTCGATTTATTTTCTCACGTAGAATCACTTCTTGGCCGATTACACGATTTCGGAAACACCCTGTTGATAATGTTTTGCAGGATGTTTCGTGGAGTCAGTTTTGCAATTAATCTAAATGAAGAATTATCGATGATTTCGTAAAAGAGAATTATATAACAATACACTTGGTCTCATTTCAAAGCGTGACGCTTCTACCTTGTCGTGAGTTCTTTTTTATCATCATGCATCGAATGGAAAAGTTCTTTTCTTAAAAAAAAAAAAAAAAAAAAAAACTGTAAAAATTCACACATATATGAAACTGAATTTTATTTACGATTCAATATATCGTGGTCTTGAAGATTGAAGTTTGAAAACTCTCTGAAAACTTGCTGTACGATTTTTTTCTCGTCGTTTTATTGAACAAAAATTCAAGAAATCCTCACATTTCCTCATCAAACTCTAATGTTCCAAGCTCAATAAAACAGCAAAAAGGAACCGAATTTAAGGAGAGGAAATTTCAACTTTCAAGAGAACGGTCGTAAGAAAGATCTTTTAATGTTTTTAGAAATTTTACAATTTTTGAGAGTAAAGAAACGTTTTTGAGAAAAGAAGGAAACGAACTTAGTCAAAGTAAAAACTTTACGCTTTAAGTGAACCGACCAAATAGATTGTTATATGATTTTCTTTCACGAAGTTGCAACTTTAAATTTGAAGTATCGGCAATTAAAGGGAATGAACGCCACGTTTCTTTATATTTATCCTTATCGGTTATGCAAGTATTACACTTGCATAACGAAATCAACTAATTTCCTTCATTGATCGCCAAGATCTTTCGATCAAGTTTCAGTTTCTCAACTGAAATTCCTATTGAAAAAAAAAAAAAAAGAACAAAACAAGAAAACAGCCTCTCTCTAATTTCCCCCGCTTAACATGCAATTTCCCCTGCAGAGATACAATCGTTGTGATCGTTGCTAGGGGCTCAGTGTCGCAATCTCAGTTGTCGGCTGTTACCGATTATTTCGATAACAGGGTGGTGCAACGGCGATCGCGGCGTTCGCGACGACGACAATTTACAAGTCCCGTTGCTGGAACGAGGCGGTGATCGATCAGATCATCGAGGACGGGGACACGTTCTACTGCGAGTCGTACAAAGACATAAACACGGACGATCGGCGATTGTTGTCGATCCTCGATCTGAAGAGGACGCTGGTGGTGCAGGGTAAGCTGACGGTGAACGTGAGCATCGAGGATGCCGCCTACGCCGGGAAATTTCGTTCGACGGAGGTGACGGAGCTGCATTTGGTCAAAGCCTTGGACTTGTTCTTCAAGCACTACGACGCCGGCATCCTGTCGTCGTCCGTGTTGAACGTGGCGATCTGGAAGGACTCGAAGTATTACAACCTGTTCGATGGCCAGCCGAGGAAAGAGAACTGTGAGCCGGCGGCGGACGGTGCCAGCGGAACGGCCAAGTTGTTTCTGGTCAAGGACCAGATCGGTCTTCTCTTCATCATCCTCGAGAAGAGCAACGTGAGGAACGAGCCATTCGTTCTGTACGCGATAGCAATCAGCGGCGTGGATTACTATACTCAGCCGATGGACGCCGAGAAGCTCGAGAGGGCCAATCACATCCAGAGACGGCCGAGCGGTTACAAGATGCACGAGAAGTATCGAGCGGTGGTCCAGGGCTCTTATCACGTCAGGCATCCCGCGATACCAGCTCCGCTTCGCAATCGAACCTTCCTGATTATAGCTCTGGCAGCTCTGGTTTACTCGCGGCTGGTGAACGCCAACAAGTGGACCAGCGCGCTGATCGATTTGATCTTCAATCAGTCCAACATATACTTCGTCGATCTGATCCGCGTCCTCGACAAGGATCTGAAGGACGAAGAGTTCGAGCTCCGTTTGGACGACATCATGGGCGACGTTATTCTCGGGGCGTATTCCGCCAAGGTGAAGATTCGAACGAACGTGGTGCCGGGTTACGGGCAGAAGAAGGGAAAACTGGGGATCGACGACGGCATACGCGAGTTCTTCCAAACTCAGCTGACCGGGCTGCTCGAGATCAAGAATCTCTTCTACGCGATCTGGAGACACGACGACACGTACTACTTCATGGATCCTTTCGCGTGCGACGAGGAAGGTTTCAGAAGCGGCACCGCCGAGATAGACGGCTCGGCGACCCCCGGCGAGGCTGCCTGCGTGACGATGAACAGCTCGATCAATCAGGTGGTGGAGACCATCATGGAGAACACGGGCAGCAGGGACAGGGATCCTTTCATGATCCACGGTGTTCGCGTTCTCTACGTGAAGACCGGAACCACGCCGGGCGGCCCTCTGGAGAAAGTGATTTATCGAGAGAAAGGGACGAACCGCAGGCCACAGGCGCCGCCAATGCCGGTGATGAAGGACAGCGTGATGAAGTTCGACGAAATGGTCGACACGAGACCGAGAATAAGACCGGAGGCGGACAGAACGAGAGACGCGTACGTGCAGGTGCCAGATCTGTTGAGAGACGCGGAGTATTACATGAGGACGGAGGACGAGCCTGCGACTTACGTGATCGTGCCGCCTGAAGCGAGAAAGAAGCCGGAGGAAGAACTAGACGAAGAAGAGGAAGAGGAGGAGGAGGAAGAGTTGGAGAGACTGCGAGCGGAAGCTGGCGATATTACGGAGGACGAAGAGGAGGAGGAGGAAGAGAGAGAAGGGCCTCTGGAACTAGAGGAAGAGGCAGAGCCGGTCGAAGAACCGGTTGTGAGGGTAATCAAGGGTTACAAGGTGATAAACCCTAACCGTTTGGTCCTCCAGGGATCGAAGAACTGTCTGGACGAAAGTTTTGACGAGTGGTCGAGGGGGAAGCAAGGATTAATAGCGGCTCTCGCGGCCTTGGCCTACAGGAGATTAAAGGAGCCAACCAAGTGGCGAAACATCGACGTCGATCAACTGATCGACGTGAGCAACAAGATTTTCGACGAGGTCGTGGACTGGATCCGAAAGGGACGTCCAAAGATAAGAGAGCCGAAGGAAGTCGTCGGGGAAGAGGAGGAAGAAGAGGAGGAGGAACTGGAGGAAGAGGAGGGAGAAGTCGAGGAGAAATTGTTACCTAGACCGAGTCACTTGGACATGACGATGTTGCCCGTTCGTTTGAAGATGGGTGGGAACGACGTGTTCTTCAAGACGAAGATGAAGATAATTGAGGGTGAAGCGTGCCCGCTGGCGAACCTAGCAGAGGCTCTGGAATGTTACTTCAATCGATACCCGGAATTAGTCCTGGAGAACAAGCGGCTGATGTACGGCGTTTGGAAGGATGGCACGAACTTCTACATGTTCAATCCTTACGGGAGCGACGAAGAGGGTTGGCGTCTGCGTGACCATCCGGCTTCGTTCGCGGTGGTAGGCAGTTTGAACGAATTAACCGATCTTCTCTACGGCGTGCTGGAGTTCAACGATCCTTCGTTCGTAATTCACTTCGCGGGACTGGACTCGATACAACCAGGCCTGTACACTGCCATCGAGGATGTAACAGTCCCGCACGACGCCGCGATCGAGCTGTTCAAAACGAGATTCTTGCCGATCACCGACGACGATCTTCAAAGATTGGAGGCGGAACTGAGGGCGGCAGTGGTGGTCGAGACGGTGCCGGAGATCGTAGACGTAGATGTCATGGGCGAAGAAGAAGAGGAGGAGGAGGAGGAAGAGGAAGAAGGTAGGAGACCCGTGAAGAAGTTGTACGAGGTGGTGGAGAAGCCTTTGGTCGATCCATTACTAGAGATTCGAGAGCAAGATCAGCCGGACGCGCCCTACCGATTGAACCTAATTTTACTGACGTCCAATGTGAGGGTCTTCGAAGAAAACAAAGAGACCATCGATCAGCTGCACGAACAGAGAACTCTGGAGAAGTTGAAGTACAATCACCCTCCTCCTTACGTAATGCCATCTAGCAAAACCCTGTTGAAACTTATAGAGGCTAAACGAGCCAAAAGATCCATCCCGTCTTTGGTATCGAGGTTCTCCATAGATTCCAGATTGGACGTAAAGAAAAAGGGCGGGATCTCTGCGCTTTACCTGGCCAGATCGACGATCGTTATGCCGACCGGCTTCTTCGACGACTCGACACTTTCGAAAATGATCAAACTCTCCCCGAAGAAGTATCTGTACTCCAGAATCTTACCGATCTGCTTGATGCCTCTGAGAGCTATCAACGACATGTACATACAAGACGAAGATCTTGCCAAGGAAGATCTACGGATGATGGAGGAGGAACAGAGGAAAGCCAGAGAGTGTATTCAACAGCCTGTGCCGGAAGTGCCAGTGGGAGTTCGCATACGACCAACGTTGATACCGCTCGGCCCGATCGTTAAAACTCCGACTCTCGAAAAGAAAACGATCACCTGCGTCGAAAAGAAGAAACGTAAATGCTTGTTGAGTAAAGCTGACGAAGGCGACGCTCTGACAGAGAAGATTCTCTGCAACACGGAGGATCTGTTGCTGGAACTGTTCTTCCCTGACTTTAAAGCGAAGGATCAGGTTCGTGTTCTAGAATGCTTAGTATAGTATTCTACCGAGTGGGAATTCCGTACTAACTCGTACTTTCTCGTCGTCGCGATAGCTTTTGGAACCGAAAGTCACCGAGTCAAAAACCCATGAATTCCAAAAAGCGTCGGAAACGACGACGATTAAGAGGAGCGGTGGTCAAAAGAAGAAACCGGTGCAGGATGTTCGCGGTTTAAAAGTGAGCTATATCGTAGCTGTAGTTATGTAGGTGGCCACTGTTATCACATATTTTCATTCTAAGCTTACGGAAGATGGTATCCGAATAATTCACGGCAACATGTGCTTCGAAAACCGCGCGGAGATCGAGGCCTGCCATTTCAAGTCTTGCTTCTTCGCCGCTCTGCTGTGCATCCTCGCGAAGATCAAGCTAGATCCAGATCGTTTCAGCGGCAAGATCCTCGATCAACTCGTATTCCTCGGTGACAAGATCTACCAGCAAATTGGCAAACTACGATACAAACCCTACCGATGGTTCCACCACGTCGAGATCCTCGACACGATTTACAACGTAATCACGAAACAGGTTGTTTACGCGGATCCGAAGTTCGATAGGGACGACGATCTGGAATTTGTACTGGACAATTTCTTCGAGAAGAACAAAACGGGGATCGTCGTGTTCGCGAATTGCTCTTACGCCGTTTGGACAGCGAACGATCGATACTACTTGTACGATCCTTATCCCTGCGACGGGAGGGGTAACGCTGCAGAGGAAGGTTACTCCTGTCTCATGGAATTCTGCGACATGATCTCGATGATCTACAAGATCGAGGCAAACGTCGGTGAGAACGTTAAGAAACCATACCGAATATACGCGATATGTATAGCCCATATGGAGACGAGGAAGAGAGCGAAGAAAAGACGAAAGAGAAAGTGGGTTCATTCGAAAGTGGAGAAGCAGATGGAGGAAGTTGGCGTGGAGAGGCAGGTGGAGGAGCCAGGTTCAGGAGGAAAGTTCCAGGAAGTGGAACTGTCCACCGTGTCGGAAGCGTCTTTGATCGAGTCGGCCGACTGGGTGAAGCACGAGTCGAAAACCAGTCTCGCGTACGACATGACGATCCCTGGCTTCGCTCCCATCAAACATTACAACGCTTCGATGTTCGACGTGACCGTTTTGGAGAACGAGATCACCACGCCGCTGTTGACGCCCTTCAAAAAGTCTTCGACGAGGGAATCGGAGAAGATGGACGACGAGATTGAAGCGGCGAAGCTGTTGGTCAGGAAGAAGGTCTACGAGAGAAGGTTCAAGCCGCACACAGCGGTCAGCACGCCGTTGGATCTTTGCATCATGGCTTGGTCGTTGATCCACGATCCGATCACCTGGTCCGTTAGGGCCGTGAGAGGATTGTTCGACGCCAGTGTCGATTACACTTTCGACAGCATACTGGCCACGGAAGACTCGACGGTCGGTGAGATGACCGATGGTTTATTGCCTGAATTCGAGATAGCCAATTACACGTTTCGAGTGGTGTTCGTGCCTCTGCACTACGGGGTTCTGTACACTACCGAGGGTTGGAACCTCTCGATGTCGTTGCAGAAGGTGTTCGACACACCTAGCTACACGGGCGCGATTCTAACCTGCGGCGATTCTCATATCGGTGTTTTGAAGAAGGACGAGAACCACTTCGCCTGGTGGACAATCAGACGGACGAAGAACCTGAGGATCGTCACTTCTGTGGACATGAAGGAGTTCTTGAAGTTGATCGTTCAGGAGATCGATCGACCGGAAGAGACAATGTTCGTGATGAGAGTGATCACGGTTTCCTACGCCCAGAAACTAGATCCTGACTGCAGCGACACGAGAGGTCTTCACGAACCAGTGGTGCCGACCACTTCGTTGCCAGAGATCCACAGAATGCCGGCGAAACCTTACGATCTCGAGGCGATCTTCAGGCCAACGGTGCCAGAATCGAACAAACCGATCTTCATACAGGGAACAGTTGCTCTGAACAACAGGGATACAGTGACAGAGCCGAAGGTCAAGAGGTGTTACTTCGTTGCTGCTTTGGCAGTGATGGTGAAGAGAGACATCATTCAAAGCCCCATGCCGGGAATGATAGACAAAGTGATCGAGGTTGCTGAATCGGTTTACAGAGAATTCTCAGAGCCGAAATTCCATACGGAGCACATACTGCGCAATGTTACCATGATGAACAGAATCTTTGATTTTCGCGACTGCGCGTCCCCGTTGGTGACACTCGCGGTGAACCCACGAACATTGAAAACCGATTTTTTCTCTCAGGTTAGCAGATTTGCATTTCACTCGTTGCGTTGGGGTAGCTTCTACGAAACGTCGTTTAAAATGTACAATTTATATTTAATGGACTGGTGTAATGTTTATTAGATTTGCGAATGACAAATGACGTTTTGTACAGTATACAATTTGCACAGTGAAGAACATTTTCGTTTCCATCGATCGCAGGTGAGAAAGCACTTGAGAAAATATTTCAAAACGGACACAAGTGGAATCCTGCATTTCACGAATTGCTGCTACGGTTTCTGGTACTCGAAAGCCACCAACGCGTACTATTATTTGGATCCTTACCAGTGCAACGAGAAAGGGAGGAAAGTGTCAAACGGTGGTAAAGCTTGCCTGTGTATATTCCCGAGTGTCTGTCAAATGGTAAAGAACATGTGGCTGAATCAGTTCGAAGACACGTCTGGCTTTTTTATTCACCGTTTCCACGTGGACTCGGTGAACGTGCCTCCGTTCAAGACGTTCAAGGAAGATCCTATGTGGTTGTACCTGGATTATCATTGGAACTTCAGACACGCTCCGGACATCGTGAAGTCAAACGCCAAGAGGAGAAAGCACGCGGAGGAACCGGAAAAGGAGGGCGTCAAGCAATTTTGGAACAATTACGCGGTCGAGGTGTCCAATCTTATTTATTCCGTTTGGGGCACCATTGGCTCGTACGATTCCAGGTTCGGCGACCGAGCTGGAAAGAATCAGGCAGCCATTTGCGTGGCGGTTCTGGCCATGCAGTATCTCAGTCACCCGTCGAGATGGGGCCCGGCCATCTTGGACTCGGCGGTGATCTGCGGGGACTCTTATTACACGGAGAGCCTGAGAAGCTCTGTCCAAAAGTGTGCCAAGCATTTCAACAGGTTCAACTTGCAAGTCTCCTTCAAGATCTTCCCGCATTTGTGGACTATCGACTTTAGGGACGGTGTCTGCGGGATTTTGTACGGGGCACGGAACAGGCTGACTCTCGCGAGCGCGTTGGTGAGATCCTTCGAGGAATCGCCGAACGTTCTCATCGAGTGCAACAAAGCGATGCTGGCGGCCCTCGCGGCCAAGGACGGATACTACGTGGCTGATCCCTGCTGGGTCGGACCACCCCTGTTCGACAAGGATCACGGCGCGATCTACGTTCTTCGTTGCAAAAACATGAACTCGCTTGTGTACGCGGTGATCAAGATGCTCAACACTAACCAGAGGCTCGACTTCCATTTGACACCGATCGCGTTCACCTTCGAACAGGAGGACTTCAACTTTGTCGACGGGAAGAGACGAAGCGAAGCGAGGCGAAACGTCCTGTTGGAGCCAGTGAGAACCACGCCAGGGAAGGTCACGGATCCGAGCGTGCATATACCAGGCGCTCACACCGCTCAGAACGAAGCCTCTTATCTCACGTATCGCAAGAACATCGAAACGGGGATAATGAAGGGCCACGAACTGGAGAATCCCGTGTTGCCGTGCGTGGAACCAGTGTTGGAGAAGGACAACATGACGAGCACGCTGGTCAGCACGACCTGGCATCTGAATCTGGGCCAGGCTGCACCTCTGGAGAAATCTACGCCCGTGTTCGACCCTCGGCTGATCGAACACGTGTCGCAGGAGTGCGAGCAGCGGGTCGTTGATTCGTTCGAGCCGACTCGCCACGTGCAAATGTCCATCACCGACTTGCTGGCAGCCTGCGACGATTACCCGAGAGTGGTAGATTTCACTGGCAAGCCTGTTCCACCGGTGACGCCGCTCGAGTGCGTCGCTGCACGCAGCTTCCTCACAGATGATGCTCGTCGAGAGTTCCGTGCTCGTACCGCGGACATGACGCAGGAATTTTATAAAACGTACAAGCACCGGCTTCCAAAAACGGGCAAACAACCACCGGTCGGCAACGATATCGAAGATGTTCATCCTATCAGCGAGGAGGAGACGGAAGTGAAGCAGAATTCTCCCGACACCGAGGCGGAGACGGAGGATGTCACGGAAGATGAAACGTTTACGGAAGCAAGTGAAACCGCCGAAGACGACTGACAGTTCACAGTCATTTTATTCCCGGAAAATTTATTTTATTTGCTTTCTCTAGAATTTCGGTGAGAGTCACTTGCATCTATGCAAGGTCTTTTGTTTCGTCTGTTTCTGTGGCGTGGAGACTGAAATTGTCGTAATAACTTTGTTGCCATTGGTTCATTGATAAAATGTCTTTGAATTCTTCTAAATAGTACTCTACTCTCAGACGTATATATTTTAATTACTTTGGGCCTCTGGTATTTCATGTTCTTCTCTGTCGAATCAATAGGGTGTATGATAATTCAAGTAACGTCTGTTTGTTATGCTGCACTGTTCATAGAAGTTATCACAAAAATCTTAAGCTTGGCTCCGTGTTTGTCCCAAAAGATTCTTGCTAATTCGTACTCTTAATTAAACGCAAACGCATTGATCGAAATGTAATTTATTTGACAAAAATACGTACAAATTAATAAGAAAGTTCGATGGCGGACGGCAATTAATATTAACATTAAAACTTTACAATACAATGACACATAAGTATAACGGACGTTGTTTAAAATAAAAAAAAGAAGATTATTCTATCTACGATGATGATAATGACACTGGTCTAAGCTTAAAAATGACACGAATTTCAAGTGTTTTTTTTCTTTTTTTTTAGCGATGACAAGGTACAACTAATTTTTATATAAAAAAATTATACAAACATTCGTAATATTAATTAATGTTAGAACACTGTTATAACAATTCTCACGATCGCGCGAATACATCGTTTGTTAGCGGTACAAAATGAAATTAGTAGAAGTGTCTATAATATATAATATATTATCGTTCAAGCATACGAAAATCCACAATACGCAAACGCAGTAAATACGCAATAAACGTTTTGAAGCAGCTTGATTTACTTAGTACAATTACCTTGTATTGCGAAATATTGTTAAATATTGTAAAATATTGTTAAAAATATTGAATTCAACGGAGGGGAGAGAGACGGGGAGAGACGCGCCGAGTGAAAACTCGCCGTTTGTTTCTAGCTATCAACAATTTACTTTCATATCTTTTACTCTGTGCTTCAACTTTCGTAAAATTCGATAGACCTCGGCGGCCCGTGTTGCATCTTGTACGCGTTTATTCACAGCAGCACATTTTCAAGCGACTTTCAAACGAACAGCACGTACGATACAAATGTTACATTTAACAGATAACATTTAAACGCGCGACGACGGCATTAATAAGAAGGATTTAAGTACGTGGAACTGACTTCTGACTTCTGACTTTCGCATTTGCTCTCGAGAACCTGATGCAATCGTCGCGGACGTTCGATTGTTATTGATACAAACTGTGTGAAAATACAATCACTATGAATTCTGCGTATCCCGATAAGACAGATTCATTCGAGAGATTAATCTGTCATTTAAAAGATAACGAGGAAGGTATTACGTCCAACGATTCTTGGATTTCCACTGTTTAATATTATTCTCACTATTTTATACCATTTAATATTATTCGATAGAAATTGTCGTTGCATCGTTTGCATCAAGTCTCACGAAGTCCAGATCTGTCTTTGCTTGCACATGCAAGAAATTCGCGATACGCTTTTACGCGGGTTGGTCATTTTGTTGTTATTTTTTCGCGCGAGATACCCCACTCTGGATACACGAACTTGAACTTGCGTTTCTCGATCTCGTGCGAAGGAAAATGGACGAGTATCATGAAAGTGTAAATTTCAAACGGTGACAAAAATTTGAAGCACTGCGTCGTTCGAGCGGGATCTCTAGAAATCAAGTCGATGGATTTTGGTCGAAAGCGTACTCTCGTATACCTTTGATGTTTGCAAACATTTTGTGGAAAAAATCGGAGTCAAATCTGTCAATTGTCGGAAGAAATTTCTTTCATAGATAATTACGCGTTGAAACGTTCTCAGTTTTCATATTCTTGCGGATTGGAAATCATCTAACGTAACTTACGAAGTAATTCGTAAAAACAGGAAACCGATCAGTAGATCGCGAGATCCTTTTCAGTTGAATGTAACCGCGTTCATTTCTGATATTCCACGTAGCAACCCTTCGTCATTTCTCGTACTACGAAAACGTTTGCACACGTTAGAAATGAATTGAATCGTACAAAATTTTAAGCGACAAAATGGCTTCACTTCATTGCTGCGATCAGTCGATACGCTGAAAAGGATCTAGCAATAATGGATAGAAACGTGTGACGTTTGATTGTTTTGCAGAGAGAGACGATTGTTGCGCCTTCTTGTGCGAGCCGACTGATTTTTCTTATTCGTTGGCTGTTTCCTGCTGTTCATCCGTCGCTGGTTTCGTGTATAAAATTTCTGCGTATTCCGTTTTGTCCTCGGCTAGACGACGTGGTGGACCACTTTGCTGCTGCTGCGTCAAGTCCAATTCTGCGTAAACTATTCCTCCCTCGCCCGTAGTAGGATTCGGTTTAGTTTCTTGACCAGTTGCCACCCCGGTCTGAAGCTGCGGAATTCAAGGAATTTTCAATCAATCCCCACCGAAATTCCTCCCCTTCGTTACTCGGTTGGAAGATCTCGAGATTCCCATTCGCAAGGAATTTATCCTTCGTGCAATCACTTTTACGACGCGTAAATAAATATTCACAGATATCTGCATATCGGACAGACTATTGTTGAAAATGTTAAAAATGAACTTTGCAATTACACCTCGACGATTGTATTTAAATTCGATGCGCAGAAGAAGGAGTTCGAATTGACAAGAATTCACGCATTGCGCGCTGAACGTTGGAAAGTAATAAAGTATCGCAAGGATGGGAAGGATTTAAGAATTCTAGAAATGATCAAGACGTACGAGTCGGAATAAGTTAATTGATACGTTACCTTCTCGTCGTCGACTGTAACGACTGTTCTCATGGTGTCCGTGTCCGCGCCAGACACTTTGTCCTTGTTCCGTCTAAAGAGGCGGGACAGACTGATCCTCGACTTCCGTTCACCTCGAGATCCGTCGACCTCCGTTCTGGAGTAGCGGCCGGCACTTTCCGTATCACTTCTGATCAATACAATTTATCATTCTTGAAAATTCGATTGACTTTCATCCCGCGGATTCTGTTTTTCTTTTTTTTTTTTTTTTAGCAACGAGACACATTTCCATTCGAGATGATTATTCCAATGAACAGAGAAAGAGAGAGAGAGAGAGAGAGAGACAGGAGGAAGCGATTATTCCACGACCAAGTGAAACATTTTACATTTCCGAGAGAGATTCAATGATTCACGCGAAAATGTGTAGCAATGAAAAGACGAAAAATGGAATAAGTATGAAGCATACTGTGTATTGAAAGAAGTGAATCTGAGTGTCATGCTTTCGACTTATGCTTCTTTTTCTCTGGCTCGTTGGATGATTTATACGGCTTTAACGAAGTTCTAAACACTCATACTTCGAAGAATTATGAATAATCAGAAATTCATTACGAACTGACTAGATTTCCATTTTACTTGTTACAGAAAAATTATTATTCTACGTTAATCGATTCTTAGGGTGTCGATGTCTGCAGTAAGCACAGTGAGAAACAATCGATTATCTTTCGATAATTATTGACGAAAAAAGAAAAAGAAAGAAAAAAAATGAGCAAAATAACGCGAAATAACATTGGTGTTACGTACGTGTCAAAGTTCACGATTACGTTCAAATATTTGAGATTCTTTTTTGCACAGAGAAATCAGTTCGTTATTGCACGATCTGATGTAAATAACAGGTTTCACTTTTCTCCTAGTGGTATTAAAACGTAATATTGAACTTGGCAAAATTAAATGTAACTAGAACAGTGCAATTAAAGCATGATTAATAAAGATGCGTGTCGGGGGAAAGGGTGGGTGGGGGGAGGGGAACTTGCATGATTGGAGAAGCAAACGTGCATATCGTGATAATTACAATGATTCCGACATAATTTCCTTGAGAGATTCATAAATTGTCTGGAATCGGTGTAAATAAGGCTTATAACATCACGAGTTCCGCGTGTTCGAACAACCGATTGAATTTTAATTGAAATTTCAGTTGTCAATGCGTAAAATTTATAATCAATTTATGAATGTGTTTTTCTCAAGCGGAATAATTTACGAATGCGAGTAATTGGATGCTAAAATTCATTGAAATTCGAGTTCAATTGGCAATTAATATTTAAAACAAAATAATTTATTGCCACTCGTTGTAATCACGTTATTGTTACGCGCGAATCCGATGAAAATTATCTCGGTATTTTCCATAAGATGATGACTCGACGTTAACGTTGCAAGGGCGTAAGCCTTTCGAGTTC